CAACATTTTTCAATAATAAACTTGAATAATTTAGGAACATTATTTGGTATCGTAGGTCGTACTCCATTATAGATGTCAAATACGAGATCTATATTATGACTTCTCCCACCGAATGGTCGTTCACCTGTGACAACCTCGTACGTAATCATAAATATCTGCGGCTTTAGTGTGTGGTTTGCCATTTAGTACTTCTGGACTCATATAAGGAAGTACTCCGCAAATTTTTGCTCAGATGTTTCTATATCTGCTGGTTTAGTAAGTCCAAAATCAGCTTGCGTACTTGGTACTTTTCATTTCTTCGTGGATTTTTTTTAGCAAATTTATTGATGAAAGCTTGTCGACCAAGTCCACCAAAAACTTCCGGTGTTGCTTGTGCTCTTTCGTCATGATATTCACCTAAATTTTTTCAATTATATTTTTAAGGTCTTTTTCGTCTGGATAATTAATAAGCAACTTTGCTCCTATTCTTCCCGAACGCAGTAAAGCAGCATCAAGAAAACCTGGGTTATTAGTAGTGTCAACTAATTGTTACATTTTTATAGCGACCTTCATCTACTCCACTAAGAATGCCTAGTAATTGACTGCCAAGACCATGGTGAGATCCTCCTCAGCCCATTCGGTCGATTTCATCAATCAAAGCAATAACGCCTTTGTCTGGTCCAGCTTCCTGAATGACAATAGCAAAGATTTGCTTTACCTTGTCAGTACTCATCGTTCCTCCTTTATCTCCCATAAAATCAGCTTCGGTAGTTTTAATGTCTTCTCCGTTTAGGTTAAGAAAGAAAGAGCCGGATTCTTTAGCCATCGTTTGATCCAACAAAGTTTTTTCAGTGCCCGGCGGACCAAAAAGCAAGATCGGTTCTGGTCTGGCAATTCAATTTTTGGGGCTATTATTCTTCTCTTACTGCTCGGGCGATAGCTCGACATTTGTTTTTAGCTTTGCTTAGCTCTCCGATATAAATATAAGCAGATTTAAGCTGTATTAATATATTTCCAGGGCGAAAGTCACAATGTACAAATTCCTCTTCGTGAATTTTACTCGAAGTTGGAATTCATATATTTGCGTAGATAGCCATATTTTGCATGATCTATCACTATCGAGTATTCATTTGTTAGTTATTCCATAATCTATTCCACTGAGAAAATAACTGCAGCACTTTAGAGCAGTCAGAATCTAATTTTGAAAAAGCTAATTAGATTGAAAAACAAAAAAGCAATATGCTTACACTTAGATGTGTTCATTTTACTTCGTTTATAAACTCGGTTGTAATTGCTTTGAATTGTGTAATGATTTCAATACAATTTTCCGTTCTCCCCGTCGTTTAAATCTATTCTCTTCATAATCCCACTTATCCAATTCTCCGTCCAACCAGGCCAGGTTGCTTTATAAATTGATCTAAAACCTCCTTTTGCAAGATATTCAACAATGGTAAATCTTTCAAAAGAGATCCATTCGAACAATTCACCATCGTTATTAATATTATTGCATTCATTTCTTAGAATGTCGATATCTTTGTTTCCACTGGACCATTCAACATAAATTCGTTTGTGATATCGAAGACATCCATCACAGTACTCGTTTTTTAACATCTGGTACATTTACTACAATCATGAGCATTGTGAACTGAACACCCATCGCAGTAACCCAATCCTTGACAATCGTAACAGTTATTACTACAATCATGAGTATTGTGAACTGAACACGTTTGCAGTAATTGAAGTAATTGTCTTGACAATAATCACATTTACTACAATCATGAGTTTTAGATGCCATCTTTGAGTTTATTAGTGATATCGTTATGGCAGTGTTTTTATTTAAAAGATGATGATTTATTTATACATGTATGTGGTGTGGAAGTCGTCGTTCACTTGTGTTAGTAAACATGAAAAATAATACGGGAACACGACGTACGACCACAACGTGCATTAAATGAAGAAGAGTAAAAACGTGAATTAAATAAGATTCATCATAAATACGTAATTTATACATGTACAGTCGCCATCAATTAATACACATTACCCACCCCTCTATATGGATTCAATATCACGTCGATTCCCTACGGCAAACTAACACATTAAATTTTTGACTACACTTCCTTCAGAGAGAGCAGTCTTGAGCTTGTTCACAGTTTTTGAAAAGCTTTTACACTTTAGAATAAATACGGTTCTACAATGGTTTCTAGATGTTTTCTATGAGAGAATACGTTGATTGGTTCATAATCATTAATATCGATATTACCTATTTCGTGACCTTAGGATTAAGCTGAAATGCCATGTTGTTTAAATTAATGAGCATAATGTATTATGAAAAAGGATGAAAGATGAAAGTTTATGAGCATAATATTTACGAAAATTCAAGTTTCTTGAAGATGTTCACCTAATGCTCCATCACTATCGACAGCGGCGTGTTATTATGCTCATGATCTATTTCATGATCCGAATTATTGTCATCGCGCCATTATATACGTACATGTATAATGAAAGTACGTGCTAGTGAAGATACAAAATACCGCTGATATAAAACGTTGAGACTCGGTGGAACAGCACCTATTTAATGTTAAAAAAATTTATCACATGCGCAATATTCTTGTAGCTTTTATTCACAAAAAGCTGATTGGTCAAAGATTAATAATATGATTCAACTACTCGAACCAATTTTTATTGCAACTGAAATATTGTCATCTTCTACATACTCTACAATAAGTAATGTTAACTATTATTGGTTTGCTTCGGCATTTGGATTCTTTTATTCAAGATCATATTAATTAGAAGGATATATAATGGCAGATTCAAAGCTAAAAGAATATAGAAGATTCAACAGCAATTGGCACTTTATTAGATTCACGTTCAAAAACTAAAAAATTTTGTGGATACCGATACTAATCAACATAATAAGACTATAATGTTATTGCAAAATCTAATCACATTTTATAAAATGACACACCACTAAGCCAAAATGCAACAATAATTTCTGCAAATTTACAATTACGAGACAACAAACGATTTTTTTTGAATCACTTCTTATGGAGCAAACTGTCAACAAAATATTTGCTGAAAATGAAATTACTTGATACATTGCAACATCAATTGACTCTGATTCAGATCTGTTAGATTGGTGGAGCCATTTTAAGGGAGATTTAAGTACATGTATACAAAGTTCAAGTGTACCCTCGGAACAGGCATTTTCTATGACAGCAAATACGATAACCAAAATTCGATGCAATTTAAAACCAGATACAGCACGTGCAGTAATGTAAGAAGTTGTATTCCAACAAAAATATAAAAGAAATCGATATGAAGCTTCTACAGTGCTCGTACCCCCTATAACTTTCCGTAGATCTTGTGCAATGAACCAAAATTGTCCGAGCACAAAGAACTTTACAAATGCTGATCGTTGATACCTTTTATAGGAGTTGGCTAAATCCTGGTGGACATGTGACTCAGTTCCTCTAAATTTTCCGCGTGCAACCGATAAGGTTAGGGTAAGGGTTATGATTAGAGAACAAGGTTATATATAAAATTGCCTTCCTAACATTTTTAATTAGTATTCCAAGACAGGTTTAAGCATCGGTTTTCTTGTCTCGCATTTTTCATATCTTGTGTCGGATTTGTTTTGCCGGGTTGATCAAAAATTTGTGCATTCTTATTGGTGATTG